CCCTGATCGTCCGAGCATAAAAAAAAATATGCAGCCACGATAATTTACAGGGGATTGATGGGACTTACATATTCCCCCACTTGCTCACCCACTCTCTGTCAGAAACTCCCCTTCAGAAACGCCAGTCTAAGAGGAGTTCGGGGGCTTAGGGATCATGCGGCCCTCGGAACCTGATCCCACTCACGTCAGTAGATGCACTAGTCCTGGCCAGCAGCTCTGCGTCTTTTGCCCCCAACAACAACACAAACGCAAATGAAAAACACAATTGTGAGGCGTAGAAGGGATCCAAGTTCCCTCAGACGATGGGGTGATGGGATTTCATAACACTCTTGGTACTGCAGGCCCTGTAAGCTGATGAGAAGTGGGGGAGAGCCCTCAGTTCCCTCGTGCAATTGTTGAGATCTGGTAAAAACAACTTAGACTGTTTCTATTTTGTACAAATATTCACAATAATCTATACGAATTACTCGGTTGTATCTCTGAAGGGCGACTGTGGGGCGCATCACTGGAACCCCACAGCTGAGTTTAGCGAGCTGGCAAGCAATATCTATCATACTGAACAAAAATATATGACTAACAAAGATTAAATAAATAAGTTCTCTCAGTTAATTCTCTCTCTGAAAATTGTTGTTTTTCAACCCCAGTAGAGCAGGCACTGCGGCCTTTGGGGCTGGGGGAGGAGACGGCGTAGCCTGATGCAAATAGCTTTTGCACCAAGGCACAAGCCACCCTCTCCTATAACCATACCAATTGTCACTCCATAAAGAATGCTTAATGCCTTCACCAATGTTATATTCAAAGTATATCAATAAGAACTCACAGTCACTTTCACTATTCATACAACCCTCACTCACTTCACAACGAGCACGGCATTGCTGCCGTGATTGTAGGGATTATTCACTACACTCTCACTATTGACCAACACGAAGATGGGTCGGGCAAGAAACTAATACGCATGATTGTCAACTATAAAACCCCCGAAGCGCTCAGAGCCAATCCAGACTTTCCTTCCTCCGCCGCCTATCCAGATAATCTTGGAAATGTTAGGTGGACGTCGGTACTTTTCCACTCTAAGCATCTAATCGGATCTCCATGAAATATACATGGCCCTGGAAGACTGCTGAAAGACCTCACTTCCCTCCATCTTTGGCCTGTTTGAATACAAAGTGATGACATTTGGTCTTTAGAGTGCTCCTGCAACATTCCAGGCGAANTCTTTGGCCTGTTTGAATACAAAGTGATGACATTTGGTCTTTAGAGTGCTCCTGCAACATTCCAGGCGAACATCAACGTGAATTTGCAACAGTCGCTTGGCCAGGGTGAGACTGCGTATCTGGACGATTTCCTGATTTACACGCCAGGTCTCCAACCCCGTCTGAAGCTCCTTCGTCAGGTACTGGATGTGTTCCTGAGCGAACTGTTTTGCCACCAGCTCCTCAATTGTCGTTTCGCCAAGATGGAAGTCACGTACCTGGTTATACCATTGGGGCAGACGGGATCAAGCCCGACGCTGACACACTCCAAGCTGACCTAGCTTGGATGGAAGCCCTTACCAATATCACACCGTTCCGTCAATTCCTCGGCACAGTCAACCACTGCAGAATGTCCATGGGGCCTGAATATGCTGTCTTTCACATGCCTTTGGTCGAAGTCCGATTTCGTAAGGCATCCTGCGCATACACAGGCGGTCAAGGCACTCAAACAGCTGCTCATTGACTTCAGAACACTGCATGTCCCTGACAGGGCGGAGCCATCCAAGCTTTACACCGATGCTCGCGGGTTTGTGATCGGCGCCATTCTGCAACAGGATGAGAAGCCTCTCGGGTTCCTCAGCCAGGCGATTACAGATAGGCAGCAGCGCCGTTCCATTTACGGCAAAGAGCTCCTTGCTCTAGTATCCGCTCTAGGCAAATAGAAGCGCTTATCCTCCGCAACCCATATCATCGCCTACATCGATAACCAGAACCTCGAACCTCTCCAGAGACTCTTATCCAACAAACGCCGAAGGGGGGTGACTGCGAGATGGCTCGAATTCCTCGCCAACTTTCAGCAGCTGAAGATCACCTATGTGCCCTAACAACGCACTAAGGCTGCGGTATNGAATTCCTCGCCAACTTTCAGCAGCTGAAGATCACCTATGTGCCCTAACAACGCACTAAGGCTGCGGTATCGCAATCCTGTCCACCCGACTCCCCTTCCTTCGGACCGTCGCCTCTCTTGTCGCCATGCACGTGCGTCGGCCTCCACAGCCATCGGATGCCCCACCGTTGACCACTTCGCCCTTTTGCACGCGAGGCTGCCGTTACAATTACCGCATGAGAGCCTGTCTTCGTCGTGCACCATAGATGCCTGACATCAGTTCCGAGTCACCCAGAACTCTCCCCCCCCCCTCTATCGCTTCCTTCCTCTGTTCTTGCGATCGAGACTGTATATCCTTCTGCCCTGGATTTACGCACACTGTCGCCACTGTACTGGAGGTTCCTCAGTCTCTCATGGCTCCTGCTCTCAGCGAAGACCCACTTCTCAGGCCTGGGTGGCGGCCTTCAAGACCACAGCTCAAGCAAATGGTAACCTAGTGCCTGTCGAGCAGGCTAAATGTCGTTTGTCGNGGCCTTCAAGACCACAGCTCAAGCAAATGGTAACCTAGTGCCTGTCGAGCAGGCTAAATGTCGTTTGTCGTTCACATTCACCTTCCTGTATCTGCGAGTATGTATTAAAGGCTTGTGGAAAATCTGTGTGCCGCAGCTCCCCGAATTCCTTGCCCGGGTCCTCCAGTCGCACCATGATAATATCACTCTGGGTCACCGTGGCGAAGAGAAGACTTACCTAGCCGTCTGCGGACATTTCTTTTGGTCCAGCGTGCACGCCTATTCTAACTCGTACTTAGTGTCCTGAATGCAATGCAAGTCATCGAAAGCCCTTTGTGAACACTTCAACCGCTTCGCATCCCGCCCAGAGGATGGAGCCACGTCTCACTGGGCTTCATTAACGCTCATCCCCGCAGAGAGCAGGACCGCCATGTGTTCATCATGAACTCCCTTATGAGTGTGGATCATTCCAGTAACACCATTAGGGCAATCTCAACAGAACAAACCGCATAGCAGCTGGCAGAACGCCTGGTCGGCTTTGATTCTCCAATGCCACCATCACGGATCGCGACCGACGTTTCAGTCGGTTCGTTGAGGGCAGCTCTCTAAGCACTTTAAANATGCCACCATCACGGATCGCGACCGACGTTTCAGTCGGTTCGTTGAGGGCAGCTCTCTAAGCACTTTAAACTCCACTACGCCGTCTCCACCTAATACCGTCTGTAGACCGCTAGCCAGAAGGAATGAGTGAATCGTACCCTCGAGCAGATGGTACCCACGCACATTCAGACCGAAGAGCGTGACTGCGAACGGCAGCTTCCCGTACTGAGTCTCGCATGCACTACCAATAGCCACTCTTCAACTGAGCTCAGCCCCCTCGAGGTTATAATCGCGGTGAACCCGATCAGAGCGGGGGAGCTAGACACCGTAGAAGCTCTAGCTCTCAAGCCCTATGACAAAGCTGTTCCGTCGCTCTTGCGACCAAGCCGAAACGCATATCCTTCAAGCTAATTGGGACGCAAAATACCTACAAAGATGCACGACAGAGCTCCCCTTTGTCTCCGATATCTTTGATATCGGAGACAAAGGGTAGCACAGAAGTTTCCACCTCCAGCCAAAAAACACTTTCTGTAGGATTCAAGTCGCGCTTTTGCAACCCGTTCACGGTCAAGGAGCCGATCGACAATGTCCCATACGGTTTTGCCCCTGCTCCTACCTATGAGTGCTAGGATGACTTTCACGTGTCGTAGGTCATTCCTGACAGCCCCAGATATCCCAACATGGTTTCTCATGCAGCAGCATTTGGCTGGCTGCGCGTGCCCGATGCCCCCGGCAACTTGATTCACCACTGCGTGGTGGACTGCATCCTCGATAAGCGTGGCGAAGGTTCGGAGGCACAGTTACTAGTCAAGTGGCGTAGTGCCGCTGATGGCTGGGCTACGTGCGAATCGGCATATCCTCTTCAAGGCTGAACAGCACTCCTCCAGGCCTGTAGACGGCGATACGCACGCTTAGCCTGTCAGGCTCGTTCGCGTACCTCCATGGTACGTCCGCCAGCATTCTAGTTCCTTTCTGCCGCAGGTTTCCTTTTCAGGGGTCACCAGCTCCAGACCGAGCCCCGCTCTCCCCCCAAAACCAATTCCCCCGGCAGGGGAACGCGCAGAATATGACTCCACCGGTTTCCTACTGTTTCTTACGTTTCTGCGCTTTTGCGCACGTCAAACCACCAAACACGTGCAGAGGGGGGGAATATTGTACAGCTTCGGCACCACAATGCTTTAGGATCGGTTTCGAGGGGAGTGTAGAGGTCTTTCATGGACACAACTTTAGGTACTGAGTTNACAATGCTTTAGGATCGGTTTCGAGGGGAGTGTAGAGGTCTTTCATGGACACAACTTTAGGTACTGAGTTTTGTTGTTATTGTTGTTGCACATGAGTCAGTTTAGCGGCTGCCCGTTAGAGTGGAATACCGCCAAGCACCCACCGGAGGGAGCAACCCGCGAAAGTGACGCACTCTACAGCAAGACCCTCAAGCATTCAAGGGACTGGGGTCTATCACTGGGAGCACTCCTGGCATGCTTAACGGTCACGAACATTTACACCGGACCAAAACTTCGTTTCTCATAATTCCTGGTTGTTCATTCGGTATATAAACAATAAAATGTTTTATTGTTCAGAAAAAACGTTATGTATCGTCTTTTCAGCGATAAGGCGTTATTCTACCTGCTTCCAGTTCGTTCTGGAGCAGCCCTGCAGAAGCCTACAGCGTGCAACCCCATTATGTGTCCAGCGGTCGCATGCGCAACGCCAAACCCGAGCTTAGTTTCCTACATATTTCGATTGACCACTGAGGTTTAACTTTGCTTATGGCCCTCCCTACGTGAATTGGATGCATCACGAGTTCCTTGTCTTCCTATCAGCTAGTTAGTGTTGCTCTCGGTTGTAGCGGAAGTACGACACTGTCTTCGGTTTCAGTAAATTCCGTCGTTATTTTATTATCCTCGAGGAGATATTGTCTTACTAATTCCTTCGATTCGAAACCCAGAGTTATGGATATAAATT